CACTATGGCTACTGTGCCATAGTCCAGGTGGTGCTGCATATTGGTGGTGGTAGAGCATAGCCCTCATTACTTGTAAAGTGCTTCGAGTGGAGTGTCCAGAAAAGAAATATAAGTTTTAAGGAATAATTATTATACTGGTGGGTTAATTGGCTTCTGTGAAAATTTGCCCTGGTGTGAGGGTGTGCATGTTTGTGTCTGTGTGTGCCCTGTGATGGACTGGTATCCCTTCCAGGGTGTGTCCTGCTTGGAGCTATATTGTTTCTCTCCCACAACCTTGTATTGGATGAAGCATTTAGAAAATGAATGGATGAGAATATCAAGAACAGAAATGAGATTTGCAGATAGCAAAATTTCAGATTTACTTCTTCGTCGAAGTACCGTTTGTATCCCATCTAGTGGAAGATGGCAGAATTACAGAATAGCTGATAGCTGTCCATGGCAATCTTGACAAAACCGGAACAATAGAAAGATCGTGAACCTGTCATCTTGATGTACCTCAAAACTGAAACAGCAATGAGATCATATATGAACCCAATTTATATGAATAGCTATCACGTTCTCTACATTCACGTAACACTAAAATAACATTAAACTGTAACCTAACGTCAGTGTTTTTAACAGATACTACATTCAAAATATTAAAAAATTTGCATTTTCACAATAGTCCTTGAATAGCCCTTGAACCTCATTGCCATCAGCAGATATTTCTCTTAATTCACCTCGCTAGTTTTTGTTCGTTCTTACTCACCATAATTGTAAATGATATTGATGTTATTCCCATATCAAGGCAAACCTATACAAAACAGATTGAGGTCTGATAAGTAAACCAGCTGACCCTGGTCGTTTGCTATTTTTTGTAGACAGAAATTAAAAATGTTTTTTTTTTTTTACAGGAAGAGATACGTTAATATTGAACAAAATAACTTTTGGAATGTTGGTTAAGGGTGTATTTTCGTATCTCGGATTACAGAATAAGATAAAATAGTGTAAACAGGTTGAATTTGTTAGTATGCAGTTTCTGACAGAGTACTGCTTGTGGCAGCAAGTGGGTGATTACGTTAGCAGCGGTTGCCATGGCAGAGCGTCGTTATGACAGGTTAGAGGTTGCGCGCCGGACAGCAGGCAGAAGGCGGGGCCTGGGCTCGGGAGCGCGCACAAGCTGTGGGAGACATCGTTACCGTGGAGCTCGAGCACACACACACGTCTGGCCCCAGACTCGGAGACCCTGGAGTCCTCAGCGCCGATTAGGGCGATCCGCGGACACGACAAACATCAATGAAACATATAGTGCACTGCAGGAGCCATTTTCCTCGCGTAAGCGGATTCCCAACTCCAAAGAAATGAATGCGTGCAATAACACAAAGGTAGGTCGAGATTGCAGTGCTTATTTAAAGTGAAGGTGTAACAAAATCTAATGCTGAATGACTAAGTTATTGTTTTTTTCTCATGCGCCAAGGCAGTCTAATTTGACTCTAATAAGATTTTCACGTATTTTTATGACATTATAAGTAAACTGTCTGCAAAACGTCGCTATCGCCTGTCTCGTTTTTCAAGAAACCTGCGGTTTCTTTCCAGATCCTTGCCGCGGGTTGTGTCAGGTGGTATTTTCTTGGTTATTGTGTCCAGTTCGCTGATTATGCTCAAGTGGTTGTTGTGTACATGACACTTACGGCTCCCCCCCATCTCCATCCCTATCAACCGCGGCTGTTTCGAGAAAAATTGGCATGTCTCTTTCCTCCCCCGCACTGCCCTCTAATAACGTAGCGGGTACTTCCTGGTACGGTATTCCCAAAATAAAGATGTTTTCCTGTAATTATGACGGAGTCTCTAGTTAGGTCCTCTCCACGATGCCTTTAAAGTCGTGTCAGGCCTTGAGCTGCTTGAGGCTGAGTACTGGCCGTGTCTGTGTTGACATGTGCCAATGTCTGATCATCGCATTCAATAGATCGTCTCCTTAAACGCGCCTTGTTAAAAGGTTAAAAGTTTGTTTTGCATCGTGTAATAACTTCTAAGGGTACATTTCGCAGTTTCCCAGAAATCTAGGATTCTCTCATAATCGTAATATTTTACAACTGGATCGACACTGCATTTCTTTTTAATGAAAACCTTCCGTGCAGTTGACAAGAATCCCAAACGCAGTTCAGTCCCATTAATCGTAGCTTAATTTCTGAGTATCGGGCTCTTTAACACGACTCTGAGAATGTTGTTACTAGGGTGTACTTGCCAGCTGACATACAGTTTCACTGGGCGTTTGCTTTTAAAGCTCTGGCAACACAACCGATGACATTTCACTGAGTGTTATTATAGATGGGGGCTCTTTTTGAAGAAAAAGTGGTGTGATGATCTGAACAATCCGTAAAGGTCAGTCTTCACGAGGGAAGAGGGAGGAATACTAAAATAATGTCTGAGAGCTGGCACACCATCTTGTGAAGATATGTTATTCTGAATAATATACATGGAGTATTTTCTCCAGAAATTGTGCAGCCTGACCCTTTTCTTATATTTTTCTAGTATTTTTACTATTGTTACAGGTCACAAATGTTTTTGGCATATTATCTGTTCCTTTAAATTGTCATGTTACCCAGAAAATAGGCCATGTTGAGTGACTGTCCACGTTCCTTTAAAAATTCTTGTGGACATATAGTATTGATTTGGGATCTGAGTGCTTAAGTTTAAGTGTCCGCCTTAAGGATAGAAAGCTTCAGTTTTGTGCGTCGGCCCTTTATAGCTTTATGTTATTAAAACATCGTATGCCAAAACATCTTTTACGATTGGTTGGTACAGAGCAGTCTGCTTCCTTGAGTGCTATTGTAATACCTGAACTGCAGTTCTGCTTAATGAAGCAGTCAGGAACAGTGCACTTCTCATTCCAAGGACATAGTGGCGGCACTGTGGCTAAGGATCCGCACCTGTGGCTGGAAGGTTGCCGTTTCAAATCCCGCGGCCGGCAGAGGAATCCTACTCTGTTGGGCCCCTGAGCAAGGCCCTTAACCCCAGCTGCTCCAGGGGCGCTGTATAAATGGCTGACCTTGTGCTCTGATCCCAAGCTTCTCTCTCCCTGTCTGTGTGTCTCATGGAGAGCAAGCTGGGGTATGCAAAAACAAATTCCTAAAGCAAGAAACTGTATACGCTACTAAAGTGATCTTATATTACCCTTTCATGCATCCTGCTTGCAACGGGAGACAACATAGCTCATCCCATAACCAGCCTGGCTTGGTTTGTGTCAGTCCAACACCTGAAGATTGTGTGCATGAAGGAATGCCTGTGTCAACTTGTCCGTGCGTGGGAGTGATTATCACTTGTGTCCTCAAGGTTGCATTAACAGTGGATGGAAGATGCTTACAAGGTAAATGTACAAAGGGTCCCTGATTTATATATCTGGTATAGGATCTGAAAGTCACGGTTTATAGCAAAACCACTTACCTAGTGGAATTTTCCCTCATAAAACCATGTAAATATGAAATGGTTATGGACTGTAAGAGCATAATCTTTGCCCCTACGACTTAAAGTTCAAAGCTTTTCCCATACAGATCAACAAATACGTACTTAAGATGTTGATGGGGTAAGTGTAGGAAAACGTGTTGGAGTGACTTCTAACCAGGACGCCTGTACCAGTGTTGGGAAGTGAGTTTTGAATATTTAAATCAACAATCAAGTCCTTGCTCTTCACTGTTAAGGACTAACAAGTCACCATTACATGTACCTCAATACCATTACACTCCCCTTCCACCAAATCAATCTCATTGTACAGCACGGTTCGGTACAAAATCGCCGTCTGTGCCATTGATAAATATGCCATCAGCAAAGCTCAGAATAAGCCATGATTCATCCAAGGAAATGCCATTGTTCCATGGATTCTTTCAAAGGTGTAGGGTCTGTATGAAAAAAGCAAGTTTCTAAGCCATCCAGTGGATCAGGACTTGTTCTGTTGCTTTTTTTGTACACACACTTCAGAATTGTTTAGACCAATGATATGCTGCTTCATCACCCTTAAACCTAAGTGTTTTAAAAATGTTGTGGGAATAGTGGATATCAGTGAGTGCGTTCTGTGTCCTTCCATGTAATAGTAACAAGTAATAGGTTTATTCCATGCTGAAAAAAAGAAGAAAGAAAACACAACGTTTCGGCCGTGGGGCCTTCTTCAGGTGAAGAAGGCCTCACGGCCGAAACGTTGTTTTCTTTCTTCTTTTTTTCAGCATGGAATAAATAATAATAATAATAATGTTTCTTTATTAGCCCTATACAATTTCTTGCATTAGGAATGCGTCTTTTCGCATACCCCAGCTTTTTCTCCAGGGAGACACAGACACAGAGAC